AAGTTGCGTTAAATGTAACATGAGCGCTCCATATAAAATCAAGCCAAAATTAATACGCTTTAAATTCAATTGAGTGAGATTTATTTAGCAAGAATCCGTTACACAATAGTAGTTTATTAAGCTAAGCATTTCAATGAATATTCATAAAGATTTATTTATGCTGCAGAATTTTACAATTTTTCGGAGGGCAAATTTATGATTTTGCAACAGTTCAACAATAAATGCATTTCAATTTTAAATGTTTGTGAGAGCAATAACAGAAAAACAAAACTGAATGTTTTTTTAATTTCCGACAAATTTTATTCCTTTTGCGTGCTTTTCAATCGGATGCTTCATGAGTAGTGGAATATTGGCCATAGAAACCAGAAGCAACTTAGGCACATTTCATATGTGCATTAAATCTCGGCTAAAAATTGAAAATAATCCGAATGGAGGATAATTTTCGTTTATCATGGATCAGGTGTGAAGTGTGTTTATTTCTGCGCTTGTTACTTTCTTTAAAAAAAATAATTTTTAAATTGATACATTTCGAGCTATTATAGTAAATGAAGATAGTTTGAATTAAAAAAGGATTCCGTTCAACAACCGCTTAAAATCAGCCATCATTTTCTATTATCTTGGATAATTATATTTGAGTAAATGACCATTTTCTCAGTTAAATATTGCAACCGCCCAAAACTCGCTCAGAATTTGCCATATTTTTTTATTACCTTGGATCAGAAGAGAACAGCAGATCTATTTCTGACTTCGTTGAATTCTTCCCATCCTTTCTGTAAAAATAACATGGAATTCGGGGCATGTCGAGCTACTTGAGTATTGGGGGTTTGAGTAGAGAAGATAGCGGCAGTTAGAGATTGCAAGAGTCTAGTGTGACCACTACAAAGGTCCTTAAATTCCTCGCTTCCTTGACACGAAAATTAAAGGTTCAGTTCTATTTTGCATCTTAAAGCTCTAGTATCTGGTCTATTCTTTCCAATGGCAATTTTTTCGCGTTGAAATTAATTGCAGCAAAAAATTGAAAAAATGTACATACAGCTGAGATAAATAACAACTTGAAAAAACAAACAAAAGTAAAAAAGCCAGTGTCCTGATGATCAGGAGTGGCGGGATTCATTGCACAAACATAACTAGATACTGTAGTGGGTAAGAATTACTAAGTCAACTGCATTGGGTCAGAATTTTTTCAAGTTCTGTCGGATTGATTAGTAAAGGTCGTGATTCCCTTTTCCTTCACGCAATAAGACGCGAAGAGGGTCAAAACCCGGTTGTGCATCGCGATAGGGCTCGGGCTCGTATTACACATTACTCAGGATTATAGGAAGCCTGATAAAGGATCTGGAACTGACCCGAAATGATGACCTAAGAGACACACCCCAGTCGTTATTGTCTGCCAAGTTTAGCCGTTAGCTTAGTTTGTCTTGTCCGAGCGAATAGATATTCGGTGTAAGCGCCCAGCAAATTGCAGGTTTGTTTATCTGCTCCGTTGGCACTTCAGAAGTCGATTTGTTCGGGTGGAGTTCTCTGCCGGAAGTTACCCCGCTAATAATCGAGTATTTGGTTTGATATTCAAATCGGTGCCAATTTCCATTGACTTAAAACGCATTGATCACGGATGAAGTTTGGGTGCAGTTTCCACTTGTTTTCGATTATTTTTCTTCAACGTTTACCCCATAAATAAAATTGGTCTCCTCAACTGGCTCAGCTCATCGCGCTTGGTGTAATCATATGGCCCGCGTCAAGCGGGATGATAACATCAATTATTCTTCATTAAGTTGAAATATTAGCGGTGTATTCTAAATCGGTTTCTTTAAAATGGATATCCAGTTTCCAACAGTGTGCTACCGTTTCGCTTGAGGTCACATCCCATGGGAACGGTGCTAAAACTAAATTGCACTATCCTGTTGGCTGTCCATGTTTCTACACTAAGTCCCAGTCTTATGTTAATGTAGCAGCCAGATAGATTATTATTAACCATCCACCTTGATGTACGTCGGTTAAAGTGCAGGATGATGTTCTCAAATATTCATCATGTCCACCCAATGACTGTTTCCAGATGGCTGTAACTTTAATCTTCCAGCACAAAGTAAATTTATTTACACAGGGTAATAAGAAAATCAAATACTACCATTAACATCTTTTTTTTAAACAGAAGCACCTATTTTCCTCTTCAAATTTGAATTACTAGTATGACATGTAAACAATATTAACCAAAATAGCAAGGAAGTTTAAAAATGAATCTCATCCAAGGGAATAAGTGAACCATAGTTTACCATACGTTCGGTTGCGTACATCAGCTTATTGAAAATTTTTAATTTATCGGGTTTTGAAATGGTGAAGTTAACAGAACGAGAAGAAACTGAAATTGTCTGCAGTGTTGTGTTTCGTGATAGAACATGCACCTAAATAGAAGCAGTTTAATTATTTAATCAAATCCACCGTGGTCGTCCTCTTATGTGCCAAAGGATGGTTATTTGAAGATGATTTCAATAGACGAAATGAGTTTTGCGAAAGGATGCAAAATATGTGCAATCCACATAACAATTTAGTAAAAAACGTGATTTCTTCGCTAAAGCCACGTTCAGTTTGAATGGTTATGTGAACCGACAAAATTGTCGATATCGGGCAACAGAACAGAAAATCCGCTTTGAATGGAGGTTGGTGTGGAATATCCCGCGGAAGAGTAATAGGACCATTTTTTCTTTAAACAGGCTCTAACTGTAGAAGCATATCCAGAATTTTCCTAACTTGAATTAGTTCTAGCATTGGTGTCTTTATTTGCGTGATTTGTGTGCGGACATTTTTGGATGAATCCTTTCCAAACCGGTGGATAGGAAGGCTAGAACCTACTGAATCGCCTCCTAGATCGCCAAAATTAACTCTCATAGATGGGCCCCGTGTAAGAAGGGTTTGAATAACCTTAAGTCGAAAGTTTTGTTGGGAGACCAAACAATCTGCAAGAGTTGAAATAGAAGTTCCGAAAAAAGTGCGTGCAACAATTCGGGAAATGGTTGAAAACGTGCAGGAAGAGAAAGAAAAGCAGGCACTTCCGTATGAAAAAACTAAGTTGATGGTCGTAACTGATTTTTTCACCAGCCTGTTTGAATGGATCGAAGACATTAGTAAAAAGCTCCTAGACGGGAATATCGACTTATTCTGTTCTGGCGACAATTTGAAGATGTTTGGCCAGACACCAAGGTTCATATTCGAGGCTAAACACTTTCAGTTCTTATAGAGCCAGGCGAGTAAACAAACGGTAATTAAACTGCCGAGTTTTTCGCGTTTGATCGTTTTTCACAAAACCGCTGAAAACATAAAGGCCGATTGGTAGAACAAAAAGCATTTTGGAGTTTAAAATAAATTTGCCCTTATTCGTGGGTTTTTTCTCAGTTTAAGTAGCCTATTGTCTCTTTCGAGCGATGCTATGGGCCGGACTCCGAAATTTTTTTTTGCCAATTTTTTGAAAAATCCGTGTTGTCCAACGACCAATCGCTTCGATTTAGACCTGAAAAAATCCTGAACACTCCCAAAAATTTCCTATGAAAGTGAGATTTTGCCTTTCGAGTGTTATTTTGGGCAGGCTTGAGAAAGTTTTGGTTTTTGCTTTAGAATCTATTTTTTAATCCCTCTGTATATGCCAACGGCCAATAGTTTAAGATCTTAAAACATCCTGGAAGCTCGCAGAAATTTCCTGATCAAGTGAGTTTTTTCTCAATTAAAGCAGCCGATTTTCTCATTCGAGTAATGCTATGGGCCGCATTTAGGAATGTTTGGTTTTTCCTTGGCAAATTTTTGAAAAATCGGTGTTGTCCATCGACCGCTTAGATTAAGTACATGAAAAAATCCGGAAAAAGTGAGGTTTTCCGCATTTAAGAGTGATATTCTGGACAGGCTTGAGCGATTTTTAGTTCTTCCTTGACAATTATTTTTTAAAATCCTCTAAATATACTAACAGTCTACCGCTTCCCCTTGGTAACTGAAAACACCCTGGAAACTCCCAGAAATTTCCTCAAAAAGTTATTTTTTTCTCACTTAAAGCAGCCCATTTTCTCATTCGAGTGATATTGTGAGCCGGATTGTGGGATTTCGGCTTTTTCAAGTCAATTTTTTGAAAAATCAGTGTTTTCCACCGTCCAATCGCCTCTGCTTAGTAACTGAAAAATTCTGGAAACTCCCCGAAATTTCCTATTAAAATGAGTTTTCCTCACTCAAAGCGCTTTGCGCTTTCGAGTGATTTTATGGGCTGAGTTTAGGGATTTTTGGTTTTTTCTTGACGAATTTTTGAAAAACTCGTGTACCCTATAGGCCATCGACTCGTCTACGTGACTGAAAAATCATGAAAACTTCCAGAAATTGCCTGTAAAAGTGAGTTTTGCCTTACTTAAAGCACGGATTTTACCATTCGAGCAATATTATGAGGCGCATTGTTGAATTTTTGGAATTTTCTGGTCAAATGGTTGAAAAAATTTTTTTTTCAACGGCCAATTGCCTCGGTCTTAGTAACTGAAAACATATTGGAAACTCTCAGAAATATCCTAGTAAAGTGGATTTTTCCTCACACGGAAAGCCGCCGACTTTCCCTTTCGAGTTTTATTATGGGCCAGATTGATAAATTTTTGGTTTTCTTGCCGAATTTTTGAAAAATTCTTGTTGTCCAACGACCCATCCCTACGATTTAGTATATGGAAAAATCCTGAAAACTTTCAGAAATTTTTTATTAAAGTGAGGTTTTCCTCATTTTCTCTTTCGAGTGATATTCTGGACAGGCTTGAGAGATTTTTTTTCCGTAACAATTTTTTCTTAACTCGTCTAAATATATCAGCCACCAATCGTTTCTCCTTAGTAACTGAAAACGTCCTGGAAACTCCCAGAAATTTCCCAATCAAGTGAGTTTTTCCTCACTTGAATCAGCCGATTTTCACTTTCGGGTGATGTTATGGGTGGCATTGAGGAATTTTTGGATTTTTTTGACGCATTTTTGCTGGTATACTTAAGCAACTTACCGGCAATAACTACTTGAAATACACATGGTTCCTTCTGCTTTCCAATTTCATTTTCCCCATAGCAAAGGAGAGTACCATAGTCCAGGTCGTTGTTGGGTGTGTAGTTCAATCGAGACGATGTCACCTAAACACAAACAACTTTAGAAACATCGAATAAAATACAAAATTGAGGAAACTGTTCAAGTGTTTCTCCTTGCGATTCATGTACGGGACGCACACGATATTTATGTGCAATTGAAGCATATTGCAAGTTTAAATCGTAGCTGGAAACCAAAATATCATAGCATGTTTACCTCGTTCGTGTACTTTTCGCTGGACACGTCCGTCTGATCCCCGCTGTTATTAAATGTCCAATGAAATGCCGCTACTGGCGGATTCGCATCCACTCGACATCGTAACGTCACGGTCTCCTGCTTGAGTGCTCCATACACTTCCTCACGTTCCTGGATGCACACGGGCGCGTCTGCAAACAGAGTGCACCACGGGTCAGGATATACGGGAATAATATCCAGGAATCCACAAGGTTGGATCGCTCATATCAAACTTTTATAGCATCAAATGAAACATTTAGCACCGAAGCTGAGCTCTTTTCCCAGGAGCGGCGATAACTTCCGGGATGGATTAGGAACGTCTTTGCACATTCAACAGCGAAAATTTCAACTGCATTATTGCGACGACGTTTAAGGAGAAATTGATGGACCTTTTTGGATACGAAACAGTTTTTCTAGAAAAAAGGAACTTTAGAAACTGATGATTTTCAAGTTTCTACTGTTCCGTGGCTCAAGCGCTGTAGCTTTGCTTTACCTAGGTTTTTCTTCAATTTTCTCACATTTTTACCTGAGGAGAGAATTAATTAGAATTTACATTACATTTAGGAATGTTTTCCGGGCTTTGAAGCCGTAGTCTATCGGAATTTCTTCCTGACGTTTCGTCCACAACTGTGGTGGACATTTTACATTTAGAATTTACATTTACAGACGAATTCATTTTGAAAATGCATTATGAAATTATTTTTTTCAAACACTTTACCGAGTTTTAAATATTTTTGAACGTCCTAAATAAATGCTTTTGAATGTCTGCTAAGTTTTATTTTTGTCTAAATTTGAGCAGAATCTATTGGAAATACCACATAAATGTTATCATTCCTCTTTGTCAGCAGAAAGGAGAAAAGCCATAATCTATGTTTATATTCAGAGAATTCGACTCGTAATTTTGAGTCGCTGATCTAAGCATAAATGGTTAAGCTCAACCGAATTA